TGTATAGCTGTGTATATCTCTGTATAGCTGTGTATAGCCCGGTACAGCTGTGTGTAGCTCTTTATAGCCCCGTATAGCTGTGTATAGCCCTGTATAGTTGTGTATATCTCTGTATAGCTGCATATAGCCCTTTATAGCTGTGTATAGCCCTGTACAGCTGTGTATAGCTCTGCATAGCTCTGTATGGGTGAGTATAGTATAGTCTTGTATAGCTGTGTATAACTCTGTATAGCTGTGTATAGCCCTGTATAACTGTGTATAGTTCTGTATAGCCCTGTATAGCTGTGTATAGCCCTGTATAGCTGTGTATAGCTCTGTATAGCTGTGTATAGCCCTGTATAGCTGTGTATAGCCTTGTATAACTGTGTATAGCTCTGTATAGCGGTCTATAGCTGTGTATAGCTCTGTATAGCTGTTTATAACCTTGTATAGCTGTGTTTAGCTCTGCCTAGCTTTGTATAGCCCTGTATAGCTGTGGGTAGCTCTGTTTAGCTGCGTATACCTCTGTATAGCTGCGTTTAGCCTTGTATAGCCCTGTAGAGCTGTTTATAACTGTATCTAGCCTTGTTTAGCCTGTATGTGTGTGTAGGGTATTGTTTGTAAAGTACATTACATGCATGTAAAGTATAGGACATAATATGTATTAAGGACATAATAATAGCCCATACATAACATATCTACCAGTTATAGTTATTTTGTTTAGTCCGCTGAAAGTATTGCAGGCCTAGGGACAAAAAACACGGGCTCTGAAAAGGATGACTCCGCTGGGCAAAGACGAATATTTTTCTGGTGTGTTACTACCCAGGAATCCTTTTTGAAGTATGATGAATTTCCAAGGGAAAAGGTTTTGTTAATTTATTGACAGCTCAGTGACGAGAGCCCGTGGAACGTGAGGGCGTGCGTGTTCCTTTGTGAAAGCGCGCAAGGAGGGTGGACTACACCAGAAAGAATAAAGAGGGTAAGTTTCTGAAGAAACTGTGGTGCCACGTCGGTGGGAGAGTATAACAGGGTAATTTAGTGTTATCAACTGAGTTAATAACGTAAATTTAGAGTACGAAGGGCTAACGCTCGAAACATCAGTCTTTAAACTCTTCACGGTGGCCAGTTTACGCTAGGGTTAGGGTTAGAAGGATTATTTTACAATAAATAATTTAAATAAATCAAAATTGGATTTATTTAAGTTCACAAGGCAACCAGGTGGACAATCAGATATGGCTTGATGCTGCTCATGTGTAAAGATTTAATGAATGTAATCAAGAAGTTACAATTCATAGACCCAACGTTTTGAAACTCCTGTTTAGTGCCTTCATCAGGGGTTATCTACTCACTGCAACAAGAGGTTCTTTTATATGCTACTAATTAGCTCCCCTTTAGAATAAATCCTGTTGGTTCGTCGTTCTTTCAACTCTATCTATTCTATTCTGTGCAATGACTGTGATCACGAGTATATCGGATAGACCAGTCAGTCTGTCAGTTTGAAAGAGCATCAAAAAGCAGTCTCCTTTTGCACAAAAGAAAACTCAGCTTTGTCAGCACACACATGCCTAACTAACCATACAATTGGGAGGGATAGGTCTAACATTATCACCACTAATTGACATTACCACCAACGCCTTTGTTTGGAAGCCTGGCATATCAACTCCACCCACACTCCTTTAAATCATGATGATGGCAGCTTACTACCTATTTACACCTCATCAGAAAAAGGGCAGCTAATTAGTGAGCATATGAAAGGACCTTGTTGCAGCAGACAACTGTTTCTAGCAGGTACAGTATT